ATATGATTAGAACTACTCTTGAACTATAGAACTAAAAGGCTAAAACTGTCATAACAAAATGCTACTGGAAATGTTTATTAAAAGACAATATTTAATCTTCGTTGTTTCAGTAGAAACGTAAAAAGTTTCTATTAAATAATGAACAAAATGGCTTTATTTTCTTAAGTCACGTATATTCTACTGCCCCTTTGGACAATTGTTATTTGTTCAATTTCAACATCATTTTTTGTTGATGTTTATTTCCATTTTATTTACATACTAGTAGAAGGTATGGGAACATGGATCAATGAAAATGATTAGTGTTGGAATTCCTATTTTTCGCCATACCTGTTTGTTTGTCATTATTTCAGATATTTTTATATTTCCGTATTGCAGGGACTAACCTTTATACCTTATGAACTAACCCAAAACTACTAAGAAATAGCGAAAAATCAATTTGGGAGTGTATATTTATGTAAACAAATCATTGAAATTAAATACATTTATTGACAACAATGATCTCGTGATCCATCCTTTGTCTAATCACAATAAGTAAAAAGAAACAACGAGTATATGTGTTTCATTAGCTAACCAACGAACTTTAATTAAACTCAAGACTGCTGAGAACTCAATAGATTATTCTTTCGAACGTTAGAGACAATTTATTAAGGACTGAATCGCCGTTAAACATGCTGTAGAATACTTAAGTATAGAAAGTGGGAATACTTATTTCTAAGTTTGGTTTTTGAGAAAATTAAATAGTTTTCTGAAAATCTCTTATTGACAACTTTTTATACAGATACAGAAGGACTGGTACATAAAATTCACACATATGTACGTTGTTTACTGATTTTATTTTTCTAGATCACACTGTAGATCCGCAAGTACACCCATTTCCAAATGAAGTTCTTTGTCATTTATGTGCAAATCCATAGCTGTAAGCACTTTATCGTGAAAATGTTTTACCTCACTCAAGCTGTTAATACAATAAATTAAAATGTTACTTAAGATTCTTCAATCGTACGAGTTATACGAGCACTTTCTGGCTTTTAATGGCCAGGACAAATTCAAGATACTGTTCAGGATTAATACATTAAAATGATAATGCGTAGCACATTTGTTTAAATAAATTACCTTTGATAAAATCTTAATGAGATATTATTGGCTTTAATGAGACGTCCTATTTTGAAAGAAGGATACCTCATCAATATACCATACAGAGGAGATGTGAACAAATGTGAGAATTACAGAGGCATCACACTGTTGTCAGTTCCATGAAAGGTTTTCAAGAGAGTGTTGCTGAATCAGTTGAAAAACGCAGTAGCTGCCTGACTCCGAGATCAATAGGCTGAATTCCGTAAGCATCGGTCGTGCACAGACCAAATTGTGACACTAAGGGATCATTGTTGAACATTAAATTCAATGGAATTCTTCACCACACATCAAATTCATTGGCTATGAGAAAGCGTTCGACAGTGTGGATAGAACATTATGAAAACCTCTTACACCCTATGGAGTGAGTACCTGAGAAAGTCGTCAACATCATCCGGAATTCATACGTTGGACTACAGTGCAAGGTGGTGAATGGAGGACAGCTGACAGATGTATTTCCAGTAAGGACCGGAGTCAGACAATGATGCTTACTCTTCTTCTATTTTCTGGTGGTTGGCTGGATTATGAAGACCTCGACATCTGAGGGAAGCACAGAATACAATAGACAGCTCGGAATAAATTAGAAGATCTGGACTTCATAGATGACCTGGCCCTTCTATCCCATACACATGAACAAATGCAGGTCAAGAAAAATAGCGTAGCAGAAGCCTCTGCATCAGTAGAACTCAATTTACACAAGAGAAGAAGCAAGATCTTCAAATACAACACAGAAAACACTAACCCATACAATCACATATGATAAAGAAACTGTGGAAGAGGTGGAAGCTTTCACATAAGATCAGCAACAGCCTACTGTGGGAGAGAACAAACCAGCTTCCGAATAAAGAGCAAGTCAGAAAAAGACAATAAAAGTAAATTGGACGCACATTCCGTAAATCATCAAGCTGCATCATAACTTGGAACCTTGAAGGGGATAAGAATATAGATAGTCCATGGAACACACTCGGTCGAGAGCTGGAAGCAGATATTAAAGAACAAACAGCAACTAGAGCTTGATCGAAGGGAATGTCCATGACAGATTTGGATAGAGAATGTTGATGGACGGTCTATGCTTCTCCACGTGTTATAACAAGCCTAAGTAAATAATTAAGTAACTTTAATGGATGGTTTAATTCTAGTTGTATTCTTAATTCAAACATTTTACGACGTCTTTGAAGTTTGACTAACATAGTGTCTAAAATGTTAGCTTCAATAATACTAGGTCGCCTAACCAAAGCTCGTGAAGAGCAGACTAGAGAAAACCAGGCTGGTTTTCGACCTGGACGTGGTTGCATAGACCAGATATTCACTCTACGTCAGGTCCTAGAACATAGACACAGATTCAGACGCCCCACAATTGTAGTATTTCTTGACCTTAAGGCGGCATTTGACTCCGTTGATCGTGAGGTTCTATGGCAATGTTTGTCACTGAAAGGAGTACCAAAGAAGTACATTAACCTCATAAAGGCTCTCTACTCGAACACAACTGGTCGAGTTAGAGCCTATGGCGAACTGTCATCAGAACTGATTACCACAAGTGGCGTTCGTCAGGGCTGTCCACTCTCCCCATTCTTGTTTAACTTTGTCATTGACATACTTTTAGAGACAGCACTTTCATCAGCTAAACCTCCAGGAGTTGAACTTTTACCAGGAGGCTCACTTGTTGACTTAGAATACGCCGACGACATAGTTTTACTCGGTGAAGACGCTGACAACATGCAGAGTCTTCTGACCACTATAAGCAACAATGCAGACATGTTCGGGAAGCGATTCTCCCCCCCCCTCGAAGTGCAAAATGTTACTTCAGGATTGGGTTGCATCGACACCCGAACTAATGATAGGGAGTGAAGTAGTTGAGTGTGTTGACAGCTTCACTTATCTTGGGAGTCTCATCAGCCTTTATGGTCTGGTGTTTGACGAAATCTCAGCACGGATACAGAAGGCTCGTCTAGCTTTCACCAACTTGCGTCATTTATGGCGTAGGCGAGATATCCGTCTAGCAACCAAAGGACGGGTTTACTGTGCAGCAGTTCGTTCCGTCCTTCTTTATGGCAGTGAAACATGGCCAATAAGAGTAGAGGATATTCGTAGGCTACTAGTGTTCGATCATAGATGTCTTCGAAGCATTGCTCGTATATCCTGGGACCACCGGGTAAGTAATGCAATCGTTAGGAAACGAGTACTAGGTAAGGATGGCAAATCAATTGATGAAGTAGTGAAACTTCATCAGTTGAGATGGCTGGGACATATGTTACGTATACCCGACCACCGACTGCCCCGACGTGCAATGTTTCATGGTGTAGGAGTAGGTTGGAAGAAAGCTAGGGGTGGCCAGACCAAAACGTGGCACAAATCAATGAAGTCACTGACAAGTGGACTGGGCCATGTTGGTAGGTGTAGACTACCTGGTTGGGATTCGCGAGATGACAGCAACCAATGGTTAGAGACCTTGAATGACACGGCTCAATGACACGGGTTTGCAGTGGCGAAGATGCATCCACTCTGTGTTCTACAAAATTCTAATCTTCTGAATTCCTCATGTCTTTATGTTTTTCTCTTTCCAAATTTATTTCACTGTACTATACTCCTTCAATAATTTCTTCAAACCCTAATCTTTTGGATTTCTGATTATACTCCTACTACTTCTACCACTATGGGATTTGAATCGACAACTGCATCTCTGTGCTAATGTGGTATGGCAACTCGAACTGAAGTACGTACGTACGAAGTTCTACGTTGTGACTGACTGACAAGTGGAAGGATTTCACATTATCATTTCTTCACATTTGACTAGTTTTCGCAGAGTTATTATCGGTATACAGTAATTGATTCTATCCAAACTTTTAATGTTTTAACTCAGTCCTGAAATGTTTTTCTTGTCAAAAGAGTACTGTTCGCTGAATGTAGGAGAAAACTTCCACTGTTGTCAACAAAAAGCTCAATAGCTTTGTATTTAGGCATAAAACATGGAGGAAAATAGAAATCAAATTGATTTATTAGGCATTCACATTACAATAGCAATGGGTCTAATAAATGTTTCATCAGAGATATCTAACAGCTGAAAACTAGTGAATAATTTTTCTCACAGAAAACGAACAAATTAGAGTATATAAACCACCTTCATATATTTTTAGGTATTTCACACTGAAATGTTTTGCCTGTAACTTCTGAAACGCAGTTAAAATCATGTATGTTAGCTTTTTACTTACAATATATGTCATATAAATTTCTAGTTTGGTACTAATGTCAGCCAATTATATGTGACGTAGAACTCAACACATGTATGATGAGACCTAAGCTACCATACCTCATTAGGACAGCAAGATAAAATTACCAAGACAGGTCTTAAAGTTGTATAGGTATCAAACAAGGTTGGACATAAGAAGGCAAAAATGGCTATTAGGAGATTCTAGTAATCAGATTCTATGAGAAGACAAACAGTATATATACCTGCGCTATTGTACACAATCCTGAATCATATCAACCAGTCTCTATCTATTGGTTAGTACAACCGCGCAAACCCTAGGTAGGTAAGCTGCGCCTACTACACAATTCAGTTCAACAGTCAGTGATTTAATAGACTAATATCACGTTTTGGACTGGTCCACAGTAATTTTCTTAGAATCTACCTCTACAATTGTAAGCATTGCTCGTCATTGTAAGAGACGGTCAAGAATACTTAACATATATTCCAAACACCTCAATTAATAGAGATTCTCCACCTCATCAACTTATTTACCATCTTTAGCTGGTACCCTGAGCTTAATATAGCAGTTTGACTAATCTACAATAGAAATTATTTCAACATTTTACAGCTAAAAATGAAGCTTAAAAGTTAGATAAAGCTAGCTAGTCAGGCATGAACTTACCTTGTGGGCTCATCAAAAAACATTATTGGGGGGTTGTTTACTAACTCTTGAGCAATAGCCAGTCGTTTCTTTTGACCACCAGACAGTTGCGAAGTTCGAGTATGTAAGGCTTCTCTTAGACCAAGAAGGTTTATAATATTATCAACCTGATAAAAATCAATCGAAAATGTCAGACAACATCACAAAGAATACGAATTATGTGGAGATTTCTTTTGTAAAATTAAGTTACTTGTATGATCAATGCAATAATGATATAAGAAACATTTGATGTCTCAACAAATACTGCAACTTATGTTCATGATTTAATTGTAGATTTTTACATGGTTTTAAAACTTTGCATCCAGCAAAAATAGTAATGTTGACTTTGTATTTACTGCTAACAAAAGTTATTCGTTGTTTTCAAGTTAAGCAAACTTAGCTCTTACAAAACAGCAAGTTACAGCATAATAACCAATTTATAACTTAATTAACTACTTATACTAATATTAAGAGACTCCCTCTCACACAAAACCTACTGTAGCAGAATAATTCTTATGTTGACTATGTAACTACGTTTTTGAATCGCTGTGAAGTGGTTGTCACACAATTTCCAAGCAAGCCTACCTCTTGACATAATGTGTTCAAACGGGCTGACATTAAGTGGTAGCACTTATCACCCATAAACCATCTTACTTTTTTTATCAAGTGGTATAAGCATAAATGATCGAATAAACAATAATAAAAGTCGAGAAAATGTAGTTGATTGTAAAAAGCAGTCTGTTGGTCATTTTATTGATTTTGAAATTTAGGAGATAACAACTTGACTAAGTTATCGCCCCTAATTTCGCTCAATTTGTATAACTTCGACTTCACTTCTGACAATAACAGTAAACTTCGAACATTTCATTGGACTATATTCAATTTGAACCACATTATGAACTTCGTTAGTAGCTGTATACAGATTAACATTACCATGAACATTGATGTTAGAACGATTTTTTAGTATAAAGGGAAGGGCTGCTCCAATTTAGCTCAAAATTCATACCAAAAACTGATAATACACCGTTCTGTTAATAAGACTGGATGTAAAATTTATCTTATATATTGTTTAAATAACTTCGTTTAAGCAACGAATTAGGAAGTTTTTAATGTCATTATTCCATAGAAGCTAGATTTTGTAATATTTCACTATTCAAGTGTTAGGTAACTTGATAAATGTTTAGATGCATACGTAAAACAGCGGAAAATGGGCTCAAAGTTAACACACGAAAAAACAGGAACGCTGAACTATCAAAAACTCGGCACAAATTTTATCTTATCAAGGTACTAGTACATACACTAACTGAAAATTTTTAAAGCAGATCCGAACATAAACAATTTAACATATTTTTTCTTTTAATATAACTGAACTCATAAAGTCTTGTTATATCCAACAACACTTGACATGTCGCTATTGATAAAGAAATTCAAAAGGGTTAGTGGTGATGAAAACCCAATATTGAATTGGCCATCACTAAAAGATATTTGATGTCGAGATACAAACAATGATATTTACATGAAATGCAAAACTCAACTGAGAGTGCTGGTAGACACTCAACGAGAATAATTTTTCGTTTTACAATTTAATGCACATTGAAGTCCAAACAAAAGACTAATGCAATAAGCTTGAAAAAAGTGTGATAAACGGTCGTAAAGAAAAACAGATTCTCACAATACGGTCGATTGTGAGCTCATGCGACTAGTTATTACACTACCAAATAAGTGTCTTATTTAAACGCAAACTTATGTCATGGTTTTTTGAGCTACATGAGAAAGATTACTACTATATTGTTATTGGAGACTTCACAACTGTCAAGTTATTATCTGTCTGAACTATTCTACCCTGAGAGACCCGCTCAGTGATCTCATGAACAAGTTATATTAAAATAACGCCATACAAACTAAACTTTAACATACAGAACAAAATCTACAGTTACGATCATTAAAACGCAATGATTATGAAAGATAAGATCAAATGCAGTCATTTCCATTGGTTATCTTGTAATATAGAAATGATACTACGTGAAACCAAAATTTTGACCGAAAATTAAAAACCAATTATCGATCTCCCCTAAAGTGAGAGGTCATTAGGTACGAGCCTTATACAGAGCACTCAGCCATAGATATACCCTAAAAGTTTCTTTCATCCTTTCCAATGACCTTCCTCGTCTACTATCGTCATCGGTCTTACTCTATGCTGATGATGTCAAGATATGGAGAGCGATACAAAGCAAGGGCGATAGCTTAGAACTTCAAAATGACCTGGAGAGATTATGTGAATGGTCCCAAACCTGGCAATTGCCGATAAACACTTCCAAGTGTATTGTGATGCATATTGGCCACCAGGGTACAGATACATACACAATGAATAACACTGAGCTACCTATTGTCCAGACACACAATGACTTAGGCGTCATCGTCAGTCAAAACTTAAAGACTACTGCACACTGCCGTGCAATAGCCGCCAAAGGTTTTAGGACTTTATGGTCCATACGCAGGGCTTTTAGGCATCTTGACGCTAAAACGTTTCTGACTTTGCATACAGTGTTCGTACGCCCTAAACTTGAGTACTGCATACAAGCAGCTAACCCCTGCCTAAAAAAAGACAGTGAACTCTTGAAAAGGGTTTAGAGAACAGCAACTAGGCTGGTTCACGGAATAGCGAAGCCCCCGTATGGTACTTGACTGACCAAGCTAAACCTATTCCCGCTGTCATATAGAAGAATCAGAGGCGACTTGATTACAATTTTCAAATTGCTTAATGACAAATTTGCACCTGATATGCCCTCATTTTTCTTGTCTTCCAAAACAGAAAATCTACGAGGACACTCCAAAAAAGTTCACAAGCCCCGAACGAATTACTTGTCAGCTGACTACCGACTTTCCCATCGAATAATCAACAAGTGGAATTCATTACCTCAGCACGTGGTTGAGGCTCCATCCGTCAACTCCTTCAAAAGAAAGTTGGATCAGCTGAGAGACCATCATTGCCAGGATTAACACAGGCCATCAAGCCTCCTGTTTTTTCCAAACTGAAACTGAAGATTTGTAAGTGCTACACTTTTACGAACATAAGACTTAGGTTTGCAACAATTTGTTCACTCCATCCTTAATAATTTGACCAAATTAACTCATTACACACTGTGAATGAGAGAAAAAACTTACAATTTTTCTTTTAGACGCATAGTTCGTTTTTTCGCTCAATTTCAGGTTGGCACTACACATCATTGCTTCATCAACAGACAGGTGAGGTAGCAACAAATCATCTTGCATTATGTAGCACGATATTTTCCGAAATTGCTGCAAGTTCCTTAATGAAGAGCCAATGGAAACATCACCAATAACATTTTGCGTGCAGTATCCCGCTAGAATATTCATGAGAGAACTTTTGCCAGCCCCACTAGGTCCCATAATTGCGCTCAGTTCCCCAGATTTAAATTCTCCAGATATTCCTTTGAGAATAAACTTTTTTCCGGCTTTAAACCGATGAGCTTAGAACAATAAAACGATTACCTCTTCCTTGAATTACAAAATACTTCAAATCTTCAAACTTTAAATTTGTTATTTGATTCGATTCCATGTTTACTACTGATTGAAAACCATTATTTTCACCCCATGAAGTAGTCTTTTCACTACCATTACAGACAGATGGTTGCATGTTCAGCTACATTTAGTTATATTCTCCGTTTTTGTAGACCAAACTCATTGTGGTACGAAAGATCCTTGTTATTTCAATATTGGTAGCTTTTTGACAGAGCTGTAAGTTCAGTGAACTGAAGGATTCAAACATACTAAAAGCTATTTTGACAAGCAGAGGTCACTAACTGTAAAGATTGCACTCCATATTTAAATATTTTTTATTAATCGCGATGTAATTTTCTAGTGAATGAACACTTAGACTATGCATTGTTGGTAATTGTCGGAAAAATTATTATCGTTCGCACCACAATCAAGTTAAGAGTTGTAAGATGATGCATGTTATCCAAGGAGTTATTCCCTTCGCGTCTGTAATGGATGTTTAATTTTTTATTCCATGATAAATTATCGCGTCGGTTTTCGGGAGTCATCATCGTAGACGACTCGAGTTCGCTATTTAGAAAGCATTGTAGTATTTTTCCTCTGAGTATATAATATGGTATCGTTCGCTCGACTACACATCAAGACTACTGTTTTTATTTAAATTGAGTTTATTTGGTTTAAAGTTATGTCCAAGAGCATCGTTTTTATTTCTAAATTAAAATTATCACCTGTACATCTTGAGTACAGATTCAAAAAAGGCAGTGGTAATATTTTTTTCTCGTTGATAATATCTTTTGGCATCTTTTGTATACAAATAATTAAGGTCTTTTTGTGTCTATTGAAGTCGGATTTTTTACTGTTGCTAGTTACAATAACATAACAACCCCTGTTTTTATATTCAATGTCGATTACTTATCAAGCCTTAGAATGCAATGTGACAACTGTAGCGGTAAATAAATCCCCAAAATTTCTAAGTATGGAAGTATTCAACATTGGATCTTGACCATATTAGCTTTAATAGACTCACCTAGCTGAAGGAACTCGGTCATGCGTCTGCATCAGATCACGAGTGAGAACGCCGTGCTCAACTTCTCCTGTTATCACTAACCAGTTTAAATCAGTCACTTCTCGAAATATTGATAATCTATCAAGTATATGTTCCAACCTCCTCACTTCTGCTTTTGATTTCACTGTGCGGGCGAGATTTAATTATGGAATGCGTTGCTGGTAAAGTGTTATCAAACTCTAATACCTATGACATATTCAGTATCACAGTGTGTGCGATGGACTCACACTGACTGCATATGAAAGGGACTGCAAGCCGCTGTGACGTTGGCTGTGCAAAGCATGTTGTTTCACAAAGTCTCCGCTAATTCTTGATGCGATAGAGCTGCTTAACATAACTAGAAAATTGCCCTCAGATAAACAGGCAGCAGTAGATGAGCAGGTTTCCGTTTCAGAGGAAATAGCGAGCGTCACCATGTGCCCAGCTTAGGATTTAAATGAGACCATCAAGGCGGAACCTATTGGTGAGGCGGATAACAAACACACAGACTTTTGTATTGTTACAAAGGAAAAAGAGAAAAAACATTCTAAGAAGCAAACCATTGGCAGCACTAAGGTATGTGAATCTACGGTTTTAGTCCTGGATTCACATATCAACGCATAAGAGACCATGGGGGAGCAAAGCCTGAGCAGTGTACACGATGTGATTAACATACATGATCAGGTAAATGAATGGATTACAGTCAAACTCTGTAAAATTCAAGTATGGAAAGAGATTGAGACCTCTTCTTCTGACGCCAAATCGTATTTAAGGGAAGAGAAGATTTCAGGAATTAGAATTCCACAGTGCCTTATAAAGGACCTCGCTGACAGGTCAGCCATTTTTCATAAGTTAAGAAAACCTTCCGAAAAGGATCCAAAGGCTAAATTTAAGCACAACCTCAGTCACATTAGGTCTTTAGCAAGCAAGCTACTATCTGAGACAGTATCAGGAGTTAGCATCTGTAAGCTTTATAGAGAAGCCACCTATTAAAGGATACTTTTGATTCGTCTGAAGAAAGAAAGTTAATACTAAGAAACTCGCGCAAAGTAATTGGATCTGGAATATATGTCCGTCGATCGTATGAAGAGACAAGCTGCAGAAGTAGAGATAAATGAGTGCCGCCCGAACGGTGAGAAGACCCTCGTACTTGACAGTTTTCAAATTCTAAAAGTTCGGTGCAAAACCATCCCCAAACCACTCTGTGTGGTAATGGAAAGTTCTCCACAGAATTAAAGTTTTGTTACAGTCGCACTGGCTTTATTACATCACGTTAGGGATCCCACAAGATATGACTTATGAAGCTCCTTATCTCTCTTGGACTTAGTCTCCGCACACGGTGATAATGTCAGTCAAACGACTTTCCAACATTTGCAATATGGTATTCATATTTTCGAATATTTTTCCACTTGTTGACTGGTGTTTTTTTTATCTTATTCATGACAGAACAGACTCTTTAAGTTACTTAAGATGAAAACCCTTGGGCTAAGCACCTTTCAACTCATGATATTCTGGTCCGCCAACATAGAAACCTGATTCGCAACACAGAAGCTGACTTCCACGAGCATGGCATGGCGGACCAACGTACACAATTCATCACAGTATTAAAAGCACTAATGCGCGGTTTTAATAAGTACTTTTCACCTGATATGTTCATTAATTATGTTTCGGAACCTGACAACACTTTAAAGAAGGATATTCCTAATCGTGAAGATCAAACAGGCAAACAAATGTCGGATCAACAACATCGAGCTGCCACATGACTCAGTAACGGAAATGTAGCTACGTATGCAAGGGGTCATTGGTCAACAGATCTTCTACGAGGGCCTGTCTAAAATGTTCTTCTTGTCCAAGCTTCTTCAACAGGTGCAGGCAGTTCTCAGTTCATTCCAAAATAACGCTGGGGACAACTTGGCTGCATATGCCATATGAATTATCGAGATCACCAGAACCTTCAGCTCAGAGGTTTATTCTTTCAAATAAAAGCCTCAAATGAAACAATGAAACGTCACTGATTTACATCATACTCTCCCTCTTTATCTTAATATTAATCATAATTGTCGACCCTATAGAACTCCTCGATGAAGCTCGTTACGAAAACGAGTTATCTGTAGACAATGAAAGTCACATAATCCTGACTGATGTTGGCAACACAATGAATGTGGCAAGTCTTCTGGAAATGTCAGGAAGCTAGCTACATTATATCCAACGATTATCGAAGCAGCACCTACAGACATTCCTATAGTTGACACTCCTCCAACAATAGACGAAACCTGGATGACCATCAAAAAAATCAAGACTGAGGAAGCAGCAGAACCTGACAGTATACTAGCTGAAGGACTGAAGTCAGACATTGAAGTAACTGCAAACATGCTTCCCTTTCTACTCAAGAACATTCGGAAGAAAGAACAAGTGCCAATGTACTGGAAAGAAGGGTACCTCATCAATATACCATACAGAGGAGATGTGAACAAATGTGAGAATTACAGAGGCATCACACTGTTGTCAGTTCCATGAAAGGTTTTCAAGAGAGTGTTGCTGAATCAGTTGAAAAACGCAGTAGCTGCCTGACTCCGAGATCAATAGGCTGAATTCCGTAAGCATCGGTCGTGCACAGACCAAATTGTGACACTAAGGGATCATTGTTGAACATTAAATTCAATGGAATTCTTCACCACACATCAAATTCATTGGCTATGAGAAAGCGTTCGACAGTGTGGATAGAACATTATGAAAACCTCTTACACCCTATGGAGTGAGTACCTGAGAAAGTCGTCAACATCATCCGGAATTCATACGTTGGACTACAGTGCAAGGTGGTGAATGGAGGACAGCTGACAGATGTATTTCCAGTAAGGACCGGAGTCAGACAATGATGCTTACTCTTCTTCTATTTTCTGGTGGTTGGCTGGATTATGAAGACCTCGACATCTGAGGGAAGCACAGAATACAATAGACAGCTCGGAATAAATTAGAAGATCTGGACTTCATAGATGACCTGGCCCTTCTATCCCATACACATGAACAAATGCAGGTCAAGAAAAATAGCGTAGCAGAAGCCTCTGCATCAGTAGAACTCAATTTACACAAGAGAAGAAGCAAGATCTTCAAATACAACACAGAAAACACTAACCCATACAATCACATATGATAAAGAAACTGTGGAAGAGGTGGAAACATTCACGTACCTGGTCAGCATCATTGTTGAACTAGGATGATCAGATGCAGATATAAAGACGAGCAAGGACCGCATCCCTACAACTGAAAAACTTATGGAACTCAAAATAACTCTGAACTAATTTCAGCGTGAGAATCTTCATTACGAACGTGAAGACAGTTTTCTTGTACGGAGCTGAAATGTGGATAACTACTTCATCCATCGTCATGAATGTACAAGTATTTATAAACAGTATTTTTTCGCAAACTACTCAACAATCATTAGCTGGATACTATCAGCAACAGAGTTTTATAAGAGAGGATAAACCATCTACTTGAGAATGAAATTAGGAAAAAACGTTTGAAGTGAATCGGACATACATTGAGGAAATCACACCAGGAAATTGAGCAACCATTCACCAATGTCATCAGTGAGTTGATATCTCCCAACAGATCTAGTTGAACTCCTCTGGTCACTGCTTCCCACTAGAACTCCAGGACATGTATCTTGAAGTCAGTCACTAGTGAGCATATGATTATAATCAGAAGGGGTTTTGTGGAGATTTCAGTACTTTTTTCTCAAAGTTGAAATCATGAGTCGATTGAAGCTATTCCACCATGGAAAACCTGGAAGCACTGGACGGCCGTTTCTTCCTATTACAGGACTCCTTAGCAATGAATGGTTGCTCACTTTCGTGGATCGGTTGAAGTTAGACATCAACACCGTTGGATAGCGGCCGGCTCAGTCGTTTAGAGGTTAAGGGTTCTGGCTCTAGATTGGTAGGTCCTGGGTTCGAATCCCGCGAGAGCGGGATCGTGGATGCGCACTGCTGAGAAGTCCTATAATAGGACGAAACGCGCGTCCTGGATTCCACTGCTAGCCATTATCCATCTTTGCTTATAATAAAAGTTTTTCTTTACCGATAAAAATAGCAGTATATTTTTAAGTGACTTTACAAAGAAATTGAAATAATTCAAGTTCCAATGACCCTAATATTTAATGTAGATATTAAATAAATTTATGCTTTTA